CTTTGAGTTTCCTCTTCAGGATCTGGCCTTCTAAAGAGCAGCCAGGGTTGATCTCCTCTAGGGCTGACCGGTTGGATGGCCTTGCAGTCCAAGGGGCTCGCAGGAGTTCTTCTCCAGCATCAGAGTTCAAAGGCCTCCATTCTTTGGCGCTCAGCCTTTGTTATACATACGTATAAACGAGCTTAACATCTACTTCAAGTTAAGCTGGACCTGCTAAGGACTCCATGCTGTTTTCTTGTCAGCTATAAATGTGTAAGGTTTTTGAGTCTCTTCCCAGCCCAACTGGCAATCCTGAAATTGACTGGTTGTTTGGTCACCACACTATTAAAAAAGACGTTGAGACTCTAAAAAGAGTGCAGAGAAGAGCAGCCAGGATAATTATGGGACTGGAGGCTAAAACAGATGATTAACGGTTAGTGAAGAGAAGGACCAGAGGACACATGATAGTAGTCTTCCAATATTTGAGGGGCTGCCACAGAGAGGAGGGGGTCATGCAATTTTCCAAAGCACCGGAAGCAGGGGTGGATTGCTGCCGGCATTATTGCTGGTTGGGTGCACAAAAAAGTTTGTGTTTGAGTCAAATCCCTTTCAGATGGTGGCTTGGAGTCAGTAACCAACTCCCCTCCAGATGTGCCTGGAACTGGTTCATCTTCCTCCAAGCTGACATCTGGAGAGATAACTGGGAAAGCATCCAGGGAGTCATCACATTGGGATGGGGAACTATGACCCTTTTATGATTTGCGGACTTCAACTCCCAGAATTCCTGAGCCAGCCAGCCAGCCATTCTGGGAGTTGAAGTCCACAAGTCCTAAAGGGGCCATAGTTGGCCAATCCTATCCTAGAGTGGCAGGTTTGCTGATGGATATGTTTAAATGCCTCCAGGGAAGGTAGGAAATGGAAGCTCACCTAAGACTCTCTGTTACCTGCCTAAGCAGGGGTTGGACTAGAAAACCTCCAAAGTCCCTTCCAACTTGTTCTGTTCTGTTCTGTTCTACTCTACTCTACTCTACTCTAGTCCATTCCATTCCATTCCATTCCATTCCACTCCACTCCACTCCACTCCACTCCACTCCACTCCACTCCACTCCACTCCACTCCACTCCACTCCACTCCACTCCACTCTATCCCATTGGACTCTACAGACTTGACTCTACTCTACTGGACTCTACTCTACTGGACTTGACTCTACTCTACTACACTCTATTCTACTGGACTTGATTTGACTTGACCCTACTCTACTCTACTGGGCTCTACTCTACTGGACTCTACTCTACTCTACTGGACTTGACTTGACTCTACTCTACTCTACTGGACTCTACTGACTTGACTTTACTCTACTGGACTCTACTCTACTGGACTTGACTTGACTCTACTCTACTAGACTCTACTCTATTGGACTTGACTCTACTCTACTCTAAATGACTCTACTCTACTGGACTCTACTCTATTGGACTCTACTCTATTCTACTCTACTATTATTAACAGCTCTTATCCGAGTACATTTCCCATGATGTTTAACCCAAATATCCTCCTCAAGTGACAAACACAAGTCTGATGTTGTGTGGTTATCCGAACAGGTGACAGAAGACCAGTGGGAAACTTTGATACAAAGGGCTGTGCTGGAGCCAGAAATAAGAACGTACTTATTGTACAACTCCAGAGGAATAAGGATGGCCATTGCTGCGGTAAGAACCCCATAGAACTATGGGGGAGGCATTTGGAGCATGCAGTGCTCTGTTGGTGACAAAGGGCTACACAGGTAGTCCTCAACATACAACAGTTCATTTGGGACCGTTCAAAGTTACAATATCACTGAAAAAAAAAGACTTACGGCACTTTTTCACACTTATGACCATTGCAGCATCCTCATGGCCACGTGACCAAGATTGTGGGGTAATGTGGGCTAAATCTATTGAATCTGTCTATATCTATCACAGAAGTGAGTACCGCCCCCCTCACATTTTGTAAATATTTAAGTCTTTTCAACACTGAAGAAATGACACTTGGCTATAATGTAAAGTAGTGAGTATACAGCTTGTACAACAGTGTAAATGGGCTGTCCCCTCAAAATAATGCAACATACAGCCATTAATGTCTAAACTGCTGGCAAGATATAATTAAATATTTACAAAATGTGAGGGGGGGGGGACTCACTTCTGTGATGTTCTATCTATCTATCTATCTATCTATCTATCTATCTATCTATCTATCTATCTATCTATCTATCTATCTATTTATCTATCCCTCTCTCCCTC